AGTGCTCTGGTGAGGGTAGTGGATGCCGGCGGTAACCGGGGTGGGCGCCGAGCCCGGGTGTCGTTGCCGGTGCAGAGACCAACTCCTGCCGAAGCCCTTGCCCCGCGGAGGGGCGGTTCAGGGCTGTGGGGTGCCTAAGGCGGTGCTAGCTGTCCGTGTGGGGAGGCTGGAGCCCGGGCAGCCTGCGGTTTACCCCAACAGCCTTCAAGCGTCGTCTGAGGTGAGAGCTGAAGAGCCTCATGGCACCTCAGCGTATGAGCTCCTAGCCTGAGCTCAGAAAAGATATCTCCACTCTTCCATGTTCTCCACACGCTAGGTGAAAATGCTAGAGTATCAGGCCATGTCCTGTAGCCTTTCTGAGGAAACCCTGGCTGCCTCTCACATAAGGCGGTAATTTTACTTCAGGACCTGTATGTCTTAAAAGGGCTTAGAGAATAGCTAAAATTTGTCTTTCTGTCACAAAATGCAAACTTAGCTCGTGTCAAATCACATAGAAACCTTGGCTCTTGTGTGCTTGTTCTGTTTTGTAATGAGGTAAGAAATGTTTCTTTTATGCTTTTTACCCTCGGTAAACAAGGTGCTGTGAACATTAAACATCTACGTGCTTTGCTTGTGTTGCATTCTGCTTAGCCTGTTTTACTTTCTTGTTCTTGTGGACTAGAACCAGTTTTCTGTTCAGCTCAGCACAAGTGAAGATAGGTATGCCTTAAAAAATAGCCTTCTTGACTTCTTTTTTGATATTTTTCTATTTTAATTTTAAAAGTTACCCATAGGTTTTTAAACCTCTGAGGAATAGCTGTGATGGCTTCAACAGGATGTTTTGAAGTAGTGTATTTCAACAATTGAGAAATATTTAAAAGATTTAATAAATATTTTTAAACAATGCATTAAGTATGAAATCTTCCTGATACCCTGAAACGCAACTCTTTAAAGATCCCAAAGTAATCAATTTTCTTTCTCTTTTTATCTTTTGCACTTTGTCTTGCTTATGTCTTGGTTTAGGACTGGATAGGTAGGTTCAAATAACAATTTAAATTGATGGTTTTACTACTCAAATATTTAATGGAACAAAGTTCGTTTTCAGCAACTTTCCTCTTAAATTCCACTGCCCTCTACTGGCTGGACCGTAGGGTCCACCTGCCCAGTGCTCTTCCCTCTCCACTCTCTTTTTACTCCTTTGTTTCTTTGTTGGTTTTCTTTTTTTAAGGTCAGAAACCGTTGAAAAGCGTGCTGTGAAAATCTACTAAAACAGTATCTTTACAAGGCAGAGAAGGTTGCTGGCAGGATGATCTCCCTAAGGAGCCCTGAACTTTAGATTTCAATCTTCTCCTTGATCCAAAATAACCTAGTTGGGCTGATCTTGAGGTCACACTGCAAAGCCTATTTTCCAAAGGCATAAAGGGAAAAAAGGTATGTTGGGTTTGGAATCTGAGCACTGAGAATTTACGTGTATAGCTGGAATATTGTTTTGACTTTCTTTTCTCTGTCCTCGGGTTTTGGAGAAAATGCTGGGTTACTATTTGTTTGTAAATATAATATTTTTATAAATAAATATTTGTAACTATATTTATTTCAAATACTTTATTTATAAATATTTGTATATAAATATATGTTATCTTCCCCCCCCCTTAGGTGTTTAAATAGTTTTCTTTTCTGTGTCCTACATGTGAACAAATACACGTGCTTGAGTATTTGAATAATCTCATCTGCCTGAACAGACTTTTCATGTGAGTGAAATCAGACAGAGGATTAAGGCTTAGAGCGAGAATCTGAGAGTTCAACACATCTTTGATAAATCAGTTGTTCACATGAAACTTTCAGCTGTTTCTTTTTTATAAACCTGGGAACTTTCATTACTGCAGACGTGTGTAGCCAGCGCATTTGATCCTCTTCCTTCACCAGGCTCTTATCATCTGAATGCTGTGCCTGAAATCACACTTTCATCTTGGAGCTGCTAAGTCCAGTATAAGAGCTTAGGTTATTTTTAACCTTGCCTAGTCCCAGATGAAACATTTTCATTTTGTGTGAGTGTGCCTCTTTCCTGTGTGATGACAGCATTACGTGCAGATGATCATGAGTTTTTCGACAGCCTGCAATGGACCCAGTGCTCCAACATGCTCAGTGTCTGTTTCAGCAGAGGGCAGCACATGGGGATGTTAAATAATTGCATTTCACTTGACCTTTACAGAGACTCAGTCTTTCTCCCACACTTCAATGTTCTCCAGACAGAATAAACTGTGGAAATAATGGGGTTTTTGCCTGAAATCCTGTTTTTGCATATGTCTCTTAATTGTAGAGCTCCCAGGTTTTGAATAGGTTTTGGCTGTCATTTTTTGGCATTGCTATTTAAAAAAAAAAAGTTTTCATAGCATTCAACTTTATTTTGTAAAACTGCCAGTTCCAGAGTCTTTTCTGAAGTTCTCTAACTGGGCAGGAGGTGGCTGAAGGTGGAAGTCAATAAAAATTAGATTAAATCTGTTCTCTTTCACTCATGCCTACCTGTCTGCACCTTTTTCCCCTACCAGAACTGTGATGATCTAGAGGAATGAGAGGAAGAGGGGAAAAATTAATGGCTATTTTCATGAAAAAAGGAAAAGCTTTCAGTCACACCACAAGCAGAAGAAAGTGTGGCTGCTTTGCAGTTGGTCACGCTGCCAACCTTACCCCTCGTGTAGCAAAGAGGTTTCCAGTGGCTACAAAAGGAAGCGTGCTGGGGCCTGGTGGGCTCTGATTCTGGCAGTACCACTTAATGTTTCCATTCTATAGTCTTCTCCTCAATATATTAAGGCTGATGCTTTCCTACTTCTCATCTATGTTGTGAATGTAGGTTTGTTTTTTCGGCTTTTTTTTGTGTAAAAGATTTTAGGTTTGAAAGGGCATTGGAGAAGTAAAGTACTTTGTGAAATATACCTAAATTCAGTGAAGGAAAGTTTGCTTTAACTTCTGTACTTCCCTTGGCTTATATGAGTTTAACCAATTTATTTGCTTGAGAGTACAGTTATTTTTTTTTCTTCTGAGGTAACAAGGCTTTCCATGTTGGAGAATACTGTCACTACCATGGGAAACAGCTGAAGTACTGAAAAAAGGTTAGATTGTAGCTAGATGGCAGGTATGTGGGAGTTAAAACTGAAAAGGCATCCTGACTCACTGATTTTTTTTTTCTTTAGGTCAATATAAGATAGACTGCACAGAGAGAGATATTTAAATAAAATCTCCTTTTAGGATCAGCAGAGTTGTTCCTTGTGACTCTGTTTTGTAACTCAGAAAGAAGGAGCAGGATGTGCGTTTTCAAGATGTTTGTTTGATCCTGTCCTCTCTCTTTAATGTTTTCTATCTCAAAGTACACATCCTTTTTTTTAAAGTAAGGTGGTTTCTTTGTGTTTGTCCCACTTCAAGTTACTCCTTCCCCTCTTCCCAATTTCCTTAATATTACACATGCTTTTGTTTTCACCTATGAAATTCGAAATGTGTTTGTGTTGTAACTCATGGTCTAAAACCAGGTCTGTATAAAGTTTCAGACATTGTCATCTCCCAGGGATTTTAGCTGTTGCTATAGAAGCCTAAACTCTCTTTTGAGAGACCTTTCCGATACAAAGAAATTGATACTGGGGGAAAGTTGTCATGG